GTGTGTGTGTGAGAGTGTGTGTGTGTGTGTGTGTGTGTATGTGTGTGTGTGTGTGTGTGTGTGTGTGTGTGGGCATCAGGTAAGAGCAGGTCCACACAATCCTGCAGATGTCAAAGGTCGTTCATAAGTCATCTATTCCACTCCATTTGTCAGCTCATTAGTCAAACGAGTTTCCACGAGTGACAACACAGAGACAGAGACGCAGAAGAAACCTGATCAAACCCATCACTGGGTGCTTCCTCGAGCACTTTCAGCCCTGCGGACATCAACACAATAAACATTCTTGTTTTTCAAATCATTATTTATTCTGTGGTGGAAATGACAATTGAAACGGATTCCTTTGTCTAATGTCATATCTAGCATTTTATGTGTCCAAAATACAATTGAATCATATTTTCAAACTTTTTTTCTTCATTTGCAGAAATTACAGCTTGTTTGTAAAAGATGCGCACCAAAATTATTCTGTAAATATGCACTAAACTTTGAAAAATGTGGTGGAAATGTTATGTAAAAATTTATATTAACCCATTTGACATACTGAAATGGTTTATGATTATTTCACTTTTTGTTTGGATAATCTCAGTTTTACGTGTAATAAATCATATTTTTATATAGTATTTTTTTATAGTTAACTCTTAAAACGTTTCTGAAGTTGAAGAAACACCCAGAAATGGCTACAAGAGCGACCGATAATGAGACAAGCCCGCCTCTCTTTCATAATACTGTGTCGAGTTAAGTCACCTTTATTTGTATAGCGTACACTGTGTGTGTGTTTAGCAGAGGTGTGTGTGCTGTCAGCATGTGATCAGGCCTCATTTAGACAGATAGAATAACACACACACACACAGCTGCACTTTTAGTGTGGTGTGTAAAGCTTCTCTCTCTCTGAGGTCAAACAGGATTGCTGTGCAGTCTCAGATTTAATTACCCATCAGCTACACAGTGAAGCACCAACAGCAGTGACCGTCACACACACACACACACACACGCAGAGCAGAGATCAGATCCATGGCGCAGAGAGAGATGGACAGGTAGACGGGCTGGTCAGAGCAGGAGACGCGCCGTCTATTGACACGTTACACAGAGCACCCTTGTGCCTCCTCCAGCTCTGATTGTGCCTCCAAACAAAGACCTGATTCAGGACGTCCATGCAAACCTCGTCCTGCCCGTCTCTCTCCCCTGTGCTCCATATCAAAGCAGGATCCACACAATGACCATCACAGGAGGACTCTGGGGTGATCTGGCCCATCAGCAGGAACATCAGGAGGATCTGAGAGCTGAGCGAACGCTACCACAAATACAGCCTAACCTCGGACAGACGGATGGAAGGATAGATAGATAGATGGATGGACAGACGGATGGATGGATGGATGGATGGATGGATAGATAGATAGATAGACTCAAGTCTTTCAGTATCTGGAGTCTAAAACTGAGAGTGCTCATCTCGACTCGACTCGACTCACTCGTTCTCTCTCGGTGGTTCTTTGGGGTTTTGTGGGTTATTTCAACATTAATCAGCATGAAACAGGCAAAGCAACTCAATTTTCTGCTGCCGTAGGTGTGTGATGGCATGAAAGCTTGGTTACCGCTGTAATTGAAACACCATCCAGCAGCCGGGCGCGTGAAAGGCAGATAACGGCATTCCTGTGGCCAATTTAAGTACCTGGTCAGATCCGGCAGACAAATCAAGCTCATTCTCCAGGCGTGTTGCTCATTGTGAGCCGACACCAGAATGAGGTGTAGGGGAAAAATGAATCACAAAAGCAAAAAAATCAATTGACCCCGGGGAGGTGCGCGGGCCTGCGGGCCGATAAAGCCGAGAGCCGCCGCCTGTACCTAACAGATAGAGCGCCGCGTAAATGAGTCCGCTCTGATAAATACATTAAGGGAAGCCGTGAATAAAAGGCAGGGACTTCTCATTTGTAAATAGAAGCTCCACTACACAGAATTAGACTGATAAAATAGCGCTCCGTATAATTACGTTTGTGTAAGGTCAGAAAATCCGTGCAAATACCTTCCCGGTGTTTTGAAAAGAAGCTGTCAGCTCAATTAATCTGAACATCGGCCGCAGAATGTAGCAAAGAAAATTAAGCCTGCGATAAAAAAAGAGCCCGGCCGAGTATTTTGATAAATAATGCCTGTATCATTTCTTTGGCTCTGTGATCATTATATTTAATCCACCACCTCCAGTTATGAGCTAAGCCATCTACAAAGACGCTGCCGGCCAGAGCGCTGCGGCTCTAATCCGGCACGGAGCAGATCGGGGAGGACGTGCACCACTGTCCTCTTCCTCTTAATGCATCAAAGGGACACAAATGTGGGTCGAACGGCAAAGAGACGCGCCGATAATGCGCTCGCATGCTGTGCCACGTAGAGTCCACGCACAAACGCTTTCCCATGGTCAACGCTGCTGGCAATAGAGAGGAAAAGTGACTCGACTCACCAGTTGTTTACTTGTAAGATGGTGAGGCCCGTGTCTTGAGCGAGCTGCTTCTTCTGTTCTTCTGAAGGATACGGGTGCTGCAAGAGAACACAAGAGAACACGCTCCGTCAGGATCAGGGGAAAGTGCACTGCCACTCATCTACATACAGTAAACATTATGCAAATGACTCACAGCCAAACAAATAGTCAACTAGTAGCAACAACGACTAGCTGTGCAAACCCTGGAAATGGTGGTGTGGGCCAGTAATTAGAAACGGCCAAACTGGTCACGATGCTGCTCTGCCGCTCTTTATTAGGCATCACTCTGTTTGTTGTTAGGATGACCAAAAGTTGACAAATTACATTTTAGGCTTATCTGCCTCATCAGTGTCTCAATAACTGAGATAGCCAATCAAATCAAAGAAGGCGGGGGTGTACTGTTCATAGAAGATGAACATGAACTCCAACTCTACAATTCAGTTTTAACCGTCAAAGAGTGTGAGGTAAGATGTAAGTAGCTAAACATTTCATATTTCATCATAACTGTTTAACAATAGACATGCCAGGAAAACATCTTTATTGTCAAATTATGTTGTTTTAAATAAAAAATGCAGACTGTGATTTTAAGGCTTCAATTAATTCAAGAATGTGACGAGACTAGACACAATGTGTGGCAAACATATTAGGCGTATGATTAAGAGTGAATGTGTGTGCATTAAAAAAAATGCAAATAGATAACAATAAATTCAATTTTTTTTACATATTTACCTTTTTTGGTAACACTAACAGCCTGCTAATACTGATAGCTGACATGTAGTTTCAAAGTTACTTAGAGTCATCAGATTGTCTGAAGTGTAATTTCCCTTTAAATCCTTTAATAAAAAATGGTTAAAATTGTTTTTAATACCCAATAAAAATGGTTATTGAAGAAAAAATGGTTCTATTCCCCCAATGTTGAAGTCATGGTGCTAGCGATGAGAGTAAGCGCTCTGTATATGCGGTGGTTGTGAATCCAGCCCTGCGCATGTCAGGTGTTCTGCTGATCTTTAGTTGAGAGATCACTCTAGTAATGAGCTGACGGCTTGAATCCGCTGTGCTGAACGAAGGAGATGTGCAGTGCAGGGCCTGCAGGGATGAGCCAGTCTGACGGCAGTGTGTCCACACAGCTTGCATTTGTTGCATCTTTTGCAATATGTCTGTAGAAAAGGCAAGTGTCTCTGCCTAGTTACAACGGTAAAGTGCTGCTGCTTCTGCTGCTTGTGTGATGCAAACAAAAATATGATGCGAGATCAGCGGGGTGAGGGTTGCAGATGAATTCGGGATTGAAGCATGTGTAAAAACAGCCACAGAAAATCCCGCACGCTAAACACACAGATCCGTACAGCACCACTGTGAATTCTCCAGTCAGATTAAATGCATCGCTCGGAGCGGAAAGATGGAAAACATCCTCCTTTCCTCGACGGTTAGAGACATGACTTCAGCTCGTCCCTTGTGTCGCTGCTGATCGCAGGCCAAGCGCTAAAGCAAGACGTTTCTGAAAAGGTCTCTTACTGCCAGGAGTCACACCTGCAAACACAATCCCCGCACGGGATGCAATGATACAATTTGTGTCACTGTTGATCTGCCAAATGTGACATGATAGAAATGGCAGGATTGAATTTGTGCCGAGCGTGTCTCAAGCATGACGAACAATAGTGATCCGCACTGACAGATGTCTTTAAGAGGCAGATTAAGAACCAAACAAACCTCACGCGCCGCTTTGATTTAGCCCTCGCCACACATGTGTGCCCACACACACACACGCATACACACACGCATGCACACACACATGTACACACACACATTTCACACACATTTCACACACACACGTGAGGATAAACCGGGCTGTCTGCAGTAGGTGTAGGTGGCACATCTCTCTTCTAGTAGGTCAATCTTACAAATTGTATAAAAGTCACCAGGAACAAAAGCATAAAATAAGCTCGACTTACACGCTGCTGAATTTTGACCCTGAGCGCTCACGTTGAGAAACAAATGGCCGAGGTTTAATTAAAGAGCGGGAGGAGGGAACTTTTCAGGAATGTGTCCAATTAATCAGAAAACAATTGTAAGATTGAACAAATAATGAAGGAAATCAGATTTCTACTTGTGCACACTGGAGCTTATAATATGCTAAAATCATTAACAAAGAAATATGATAACGGGCACATAGAAATAAATTTTTTGATTGCTAAGTGCTGACATATGCTTGGCAAGACAAGGTCTGTTTTTTTTCTGTGAGGCACACAGACAGCAGCAGATTCTCTCTCACTGGAGTCCTGCACTGAACACACACTGAATTCAGTCTTGCTTTGTGAATGCATCCCGGCGCAGGTCATCGTGTGCTGATTCATCAGGCAAATAGATATATATATATATATATATTGTGTGTGTGTGAGTGTGTCATCAAAATCTACCAGAATCATATCACTAATAAAGCAAAAATGTTTGTTAGTTTTTAATCATTTAATCTCATGTGCTGTCTTTAAACTGTATCATATGTGTCAGTGTTGTGTCAGTGTTATTTCAGACATGTGCCGATCTCTTCTGCATCATTAAAACAATCACATATCGGTGATAAATAGTGCAGCACTGCATGTCTCCTCCAGCCACCACAAACACAATGAGTTCAACACACCAGAGACACGTTTTAAGCAGTGAGTTGACATTATATCTTTTCGCCCCCGACAGGAAAAAAACAGAAAGCGCTTAAATCCCTTCAAACCCAGCTTAAGATATCCTGACCGCAGACACACAATATACAACAGATCCGGTTTCATTGAGCTCTGCTCCACAAATCACTGTAAATACAGACCTTGGGTCTGATAAACGATGCACACGGCCATGGAAATGCGTACGTGATTTCCCATGCACATATCAGGATTTAGCAAAAGTAAACTTGGTGGTGGCAGGTATGTTAAACTTGGTGCTATAACATGAATGGAAATGTGCACATGGATTATGCAGGTCATGCACAGAGAAATTATGTAGGTTATGCATAAGATAAAACCTATGCAAATTATTGCGCGTGAGGCCCCTGATCCTTACCAATTCAATTGCACCTCTGTCTCCGTCTCAATATTTTTCAATATAGACATTGTTGAGCAGCCAATTTTTGCATTCTGTAAGTACAGCTGTGCAACCAGAGTAACACACATCCGAGTGACATCGCAGGTCGAGTCTAGCACTGTAAAATAAAGCATCAAATGACAAAACAAGTCAAACCTGAACAGAGCACTACCTTAATATGAAATATTCATTTCGTCCAGCGGTGTGCATGACACGCAAACAGCATGACGAAGAGTAAACTTAGCATGAGAGATCAGAGAAAGATTGAAAGTATTCCTGTCGCTTTAAACTCAATCAATAGAGTGAATTACTAAGAGCCGGAGCAATATCCTGAGAAACGGACTGACCACAGAATGTGAAGAGGTGCAGTCTATAAATTATTAGACAGAAAAATGAGCAGCTTATTTTATTGCAGATGCCAGCGCTAGCCTGCGATCGAATCAACTGTTAATTACGCTGCAGCCTGTTAATGGCACCGGCTTTTTGCTGCTCGCGCCATTCTGAGCGCACACACGCGGTCAGGGAAGGAGTCCTCTGGGATGTGTCAGTGCATCATACAGTCCACAGCAAGTGCATGTGGGCCGATTTTATTTCCCAGAGTGCATGTGTGTGCATGTGTGTTTGCACTCTATTGGCTAAATTACAGGGTGTGATGTGCTCTTCACCGCAACTCAGTGTAACGTCGAGCCTGAACCCCCAGTGCCCCCAAACACACATCAACCCCCCCTCTCTCACACACACACACACACACACACACACACACTCCCCAGCAGAGCGGCTGACCGTGCGCTTGATGAATGACTTCATCAGTACGAGGCCAGACTGCAATGAATTAAAGAGTCCTGCAGCCTAATGAAACCCAGCACATCCCCCAACTGAACTACTGAACGCCTCTCCATCGCTGCAGCCCAAATTCACATGCTATCCATCCTAAATAGTAGGCAAAATAAGAATAAGTGCACAGGAGTAGCATGAAAACAGTAGGCTGAATGATGCGGTGCATTTATGAAGTGTGTATCAGTGCATGCTTTTTTGGCTATTGCAACCCACAATCCATTGTGCAGTGGATCATTTACCATTGCAGAAAAACAGCATGCAGTGCTTTTAAATGCTCAAACCTAAACGTAATGCATTTAGCGCGATGCTAACATGCTAGCGCAAACAGCACGTGGCAGGCACTGCTGTACTGTCATTCGACACGCTTTTTTTGTTTTGGAGGTTTGTGAAACCGAAATTAATTAAATTCATTTTCAATACTCCATTGTCTCTTACCAACAATTTCAATTATCCCCAAACTACTCCATCATCGCCAAAGCGTTTGAAATTCCCCGTGATGTGCAGCTCAAATTGACTGTTTCTGTATGTTTAATCAAACTGAGCGCAGCAAGATAACACAGACTCCAAATAAAATCAATCAAAGCCCAGAATGACATTTTAATATCTGCTACACAGAAATCTGCAGAAAGATTGGTACATTTTAAATTTAGAGAGGCTGTTAATAATGCATTTACATATGTGTGTTTCTGCAAAAATTATATTACAACCAAATGAAGGCTGCAGGTTTATTTTGATAAGACTGATTTGAATATACACACACACA